ATTTGCCTTAAGGCACGATGCCATACACTCCACCAGTTTTTAATACGGATTGATCACTGACTAGTGTATGACATCGTGAATTAGAGAAAGTTTCTGGAACTTCCCGTACCGCAATGAAATATTGAAGGAATAATAAATGTTTTCAAATAGATTATTATAAATACGGTGGCTTTCATTATTTTTATGAAACAGCTCGGCAGATCGTCGCATAAAACTAACAAACGATAGTCCTTATTGAGATACATCGAATAGCTTTTAAATTTCTAAAATCGGTACAGTCGTTTTTGAGAAAACGTCGATTTACGATAAAAAATCTGTTCACACACACATACCCCTACGCATGCATACACACACCCACACACATACACACACATACTTTTTCCAAATTAGGTCTCATTCGATTCAGAATGGCTTGAAACGTCGAGAAAACATAAAATTGCGAAACGGATTTTATGATAAAAACAAACTTCTGATTTGGGAAGTTTAATTAAAATTATACACTTCTAATATCTTTTGTTATCGTTAATAAATGACTAATTAAAAATCGTAACAGACGGCGCTTAATATTTTGAATATTTGTGGCATTGATTTGTTTTAAGATAGTTCGATGACGTAAGTACATATTGTCAATACCTTAGAAATGCTTAAAGTCATCTAAATTTCAAATTTCGAGTAATTTTAAAATTACGAAAATTAATTTTTATAAATCGAAGGTTATTAAATTTTAGTTAATGTAAGTTAGTAGTTGTGGCATCAAAAGAATGTGTTACCTTTACTCGGTTCACTACATTTTTGCAAACGCCCAAGCACACTGAGCAACTCAATTGCTTTTTCCTTTACTCACTTAAACACTGCATGTTAAAATAATATTTATACTTTTAACCACTGCAAACAATGTGTTTGTTAAAAATGAATCCTCTATCGGCACTTAACACTTTTTAACATACACTAAATCTATATAATGACGCCATGCGGCAAAAGCGCGCGAACAATTTATTGTGCGTTGCTTCCGAATGCAACGGTGTTACTGTGGCGACGACGCCACAACTACTGAATGCAATAAAAAAATTGCCAACAGGTGGCATGACAGTCGAGAAATACGTTGATGAAACTTTCCTTATGAACATTTTTTGGTACAAAGTAATGTTATGTTGGCCGAGCGTTCTAAATAGTTGGAGTCAAGGTGTAACCCTAAAGACCCGCGATCGAATCCCAGAAAAGAGTAAATTATAGATTTGATTTTTTTTATTCCTCATTCTAAGTATTTGTACGGAAAGTATGAAGATTTTGATGTATATTTTAATCATTTACCATACCTACACTTTTCAATAAAAAATAAATAAATTGGAATTATTTACTTTGAAATTATTATTCTAACATTTAGACACAATGCTGATATTATCTATATTAAAATACGTAGTTATATATAACATAAATATTATATTACAAATATATGTGAAAAAATATATTATAATAATTCTTCATTATTAAAAATCGATTTTGTTTGCAATATGTCAAAATCTTGAAATTTTAAATGTGCCAATTTCATTTAAATATAATTAGTTCCATATTAGGTTGATACTTGCAAAATCTATTAACATGCCCCAAGAACATTTATATGTGGTGTGCTTTTCAGTGGGTAAATATATATTTTGTTAGCTATCTCTTACACTAATATACCACATCAGTTAGTTATTTTCATTTCAAATATTTTTACTAGAAATATTGTTCATGGCAAAACAACGTTTGCCGGGACAGCGAGTAAAATAATAAATTTTATGTGGCCATATTTTTGTACTATAATATACTATTTTAGTCGATGATAATAAACTAATTATGGTTACATATTTTACTTAGTTATATGGCGAATATCCACAAGTAATAAACAATTTTACTTTTGTTATTTTGTATTAAAAGAAGTACCCAACAAAAGAGTATGTAAGTCGTTCTCATATTAACAAATCTACTCATAAAGTTAAAAGTATACTTTGAATAGAATATTCTACAAATCACATTAGTGGATCAAATTGAACTAATATTGTTTGACTAATTGATTAAACTAATTGATTTCTAAAGAATCACTTAGACTGAATTATAATAGTAGATATAAAAAAACATAATATCGTTCTCATATTCCTATCTATTATGTAAAATAAAATAATAGTATAGTTGCGGCAAATATTTCTAATAAACCATTTTACGTAAATTATGACTACATTTCTCTTTATGTAAATGAATATAAACGACCATATCTATATCTCTAAGATAATACTACTGATAGTCAATTAATAACAGCTGGAAATTATTTCTAAATCAAAATAGTGAAAAACTAAAGAATATAAATTCAAACTGCATTTTCATATAATAATGTTT